ACGACCACTTTTGATTACCTGATGTAGGCATAGAAGTAGAAATAACCTTTGTTTCGATACTTGCGTCGCCTTAGTCATAAAGGTGGAATAGAGCTCCGCTCAGAATAATGGTACCTATAACAACTCCAGGGATACCTAATTTGCAACAAAGCAATGAAAAATAATAAGACAATTTAGGCTTCAATATTTTTGGTCAGTCTTGCACACTTTTGCAATTAAAATTGCTTATTTTGATTACACATATAAGCAAGTTGATTTTTCATTCATTGCTGTATGCACTTCCTGCCAAATCCATAAACTCGTAGATCTCCGGCACTTTAATGATAAATTCACTTCCATGCCGACGTGGAGGTTTAAGCGCAGCACTGTTGTTAGTCTCTAATAAAATCGAACAGATTGGGACTGACAAGCAGTGTAGACGAATTTCTTATAAAATTGTTGACCAAAATATACTGGCGTGAAAGTAAATGAGCAATTTTACCAGCGTAACACCATGCGTTAAAAAATTACATATTTTCCAACGTCCTTTCAAAACGAGCAGACCTCCTAAATGAAGATTTTTACTGAAATAATGTAGGGGAAAACTGTGACAAAGACGATGTCAAGATTTTGAGATATCTGATTTAGTACTTTATATCAATCTAGGGGTTGATCAATCAGGCGTGTAGAGGAAACCTGGGAGACTAGCGGTAAAAACCACTAAACAAGTATGAGAGCCTAATAGTGGAGATCAAAAAGGAAAAAACCCTCTAGTCAACTTTTAACTTCAGAGTTTTTCAAGAAAAGAGGTACATCTTAATGCACAAAAATGCTCTCATCTTTTTGCAGAGTACTCTTCTTAATGCAGGTAACTGAAAAATAATAACACACGAAGATTTATAAATAGACCTGGACCATATTAAGAGAATCCTCAAAAGCACTTTTGCCTATCTAGCAACAACTTCTCCGAATTCCAAATATTTGTCTCTGAGGCAATTTCATTTGGGCCTTTAAGGTCGGTTATTCCTCTCGCGAGCTGGATGATCACACCATCTACCAAACTTTGGAATGGGAATCCCTACTTTCAAAGCTGCCAGTGACATTTATTTGACAGCCTTCAAAAAATTTACACTTTTCAAGCATTTTACTGTGCCTTGACACCCTACCATCAACGGATTGCATTCGACATGGTCCGTGGATATTGACAGGATTTATACTTTTGTTCAAATGAGCCTTCATCATTCCACACTGTTCCATGCGCGATATAACACTGTTACCTGTCATCTTCATTAAACAGAGCCTAGATTGATCCCACTATATGTTTCGACCATTAAAAGTGGGGAATGGACATCCTTACCACCTACTATAACATGTGCGATCGCCACGGGTCATCTGCAAAATTAAAAGTCTGGTTTGACCTGAACGCTCTTCCTAAAACCTAAACAAGTGTCAGTCTGTTGCAATTTATCTACTTAACTTCAATGAAAATTCCCCCAAATCTATTAAGTTCTACACTACGGCCGAAAAAGTAATTTTGCTACTGTCGTATGGGAACACCTTTAAAGATGCAAGAGTGAAGAGTATGACCATTGAAAAGGTATTGAGTGACCACGTTGAATAGAT